TAATATGTTATTTTCCTCTGGCTACCTTCAAGATTTTCTCTTTATATTTAGTTTCCCACACTGACCCCAGGTCTGATTTTATTTGTATTTATCCTGCTGACCGTCTTGGATGTGTAAAGTAGTGTTTTCACCCAGCCTGGGAAGTTTTCAGTTATTATTTCTTCAAATTTTTTGGAGGGGTAGTTATTTTCTTTCCCCTCTCCTCTGGTACTCTAATACATGTATATTAGAATGCTTGATATTATCCTGTAATTCACTAAGATGCTGTTCATTGTTTTTTTAATCTTTAGTCTCTCTGTCCTTCATATTGAATAATTCTTACTGATCTAAGTTTACTGATCTTTTATCTTGTCATTTCTACTCTTCATTTAACACCATCCAGTGAATTTTTCATTTCAAGTACGGTACTTTTCAGTTTCAGAATTTTCATTTGGTTCTTTATAATGGTTTCTATTTTCTTGCTGAGATTCTCCTTCTTTTTAGTCAGGATGACCATGTTTTTCTTATATCTTTGGACATATTATAATATCAGTTTAAAATTCTTGTCTGAAAATTCCTATATTGAGGATACCATAGAGCAGTGTCACATACTTTGTTAGGGAGGGTCTGTGTCGGTTCCGCCCTTAGTGTTAGGTTGACTTGTTTACTGTGAAAGTGTAGCCCTTCTGAGATTTCAGTGGAAAACCTAAGGTGTCTATCAAGCCCCTCTAACTCGGGTGGGATTCAAACTCCCAACTCTACAGACAGTTGGTTGTAGATAGTAGGCAGCATCTGAAATCTCTGCTCACCCTTTCAGCTCTCTAGTTATTGTTTGCCACAGAGCTCACTGGTACCTTCTGCACATATACACCATTTCACAGTTATTCCAAGATTAATGGGAATTTATATACAGAATTGGGAATTCTCTTCTCTATGGCTTCCTCCTTTCAGCAGTTTAATCCCTTAATTCTCAGCGACTCTGGCAGCCCTGAGCTTCATCCATCCTTTGACACCACAGGCCATTACAACTGTGGCTTTCTCTTTGAGTTCTAGTTGTTCTTTGTGGCCAGGGGTGTGTCCTCAGGGGAAAAGCTGTATGAATGTACTTCTTACCCATCCAGTTCCCTTCTTTCAGGGATCAAATTTCCTACATTCTCTGCCTTCTGGTAGTTAGAATACAAGTAGTTTTTTTAAAAAAATATTTTGTCCGGAGTTTGTAATTAGAGAGCTAGTCCAATATAAACTCTTCTATCATTCCCATGAGTAGAACTCTGTCACAGGTATTTTGTTTCCACATGTGCATACGTGTAAAGGTGAAATTCTTCCCTCCATCTTCCTGAATACTCACAGGATCATTAAATAATATATCCTGAAGGGAGCTACCGGTGTTGTCCAGACTGCTCCAGCCTACCAGGTAATGACTGTCCAAAACCATTAATTACTCTTCTGATTTTAAAGTAAGTCAGTAAGGAATGAGGTTTCTTTAGGAAGTAAGTTCTTCTGTCTGGGGACTCCCAATTTTACAATTTCAGCCCATAGAATGGCTCTAAATCACACAGAGTCCTAGGGTTATAGAGGCAGGAGGAGGTATAGACATTGCTGAAGCCAAGTTTGTTCCACCATGCCACGACTATGACAGAAGCCCCTTTCCTGGTGCCTAGGTTTGTTACCTCAGTTTCTTTGCTCTGCTTTACCTCTTCTGATCCCATGGATCTGATCATTTATTTTTATCTATTTTACTTTGGCTGTCTCCTCTGTTCCATTTTCTGAAATCTGTATGCACTAGATCTGTTTACCTGACTTCTGAATTATTCTGACTACTTCTGACCCTAACCTACAGTACCCTAGAAGGTGACTTTATTTGAAGACAGGGTCTCGACAGAGGTAATCAAGTTAAAATGAGGTCATTAATACAATATGACTGCTATCCTTATAAAAAGGGACACAGACACAAATACGGGCAGAGGGAAGATGATGTGAAGACACACAGGGAGAAGATGACACGAGGACAGAGACCTGGGACACGTTCTCCCTCACATCCCTCAGATGGAAGATGACCATCTACAAGCCAGAAACAGAGACCTGGGGCATGTCCTCCCTCACAACCCTCAGACGGAAGATGACCATCTACAAGCCAGGGACAGAGACCTGGGACACATCCTCCCTTACATCCCTCAGACGGAAGATGACCATCTACAATCCAGGGACAGAGA